TATTGGGGCATGCGAGATAGTGCATCTGCCAGGAAGTTCTTTCTCCCCGGCAAATGTTTGAGCTTAAATTGGAACTGGTGAAAATGCTGGGACCAGCGGGCTTGCTTGGGGTTGAGCTTCCTGGGTGTTTTCAGGGCTTCCAAATTTTTGTGGTCAGTCCACACCTGGAAGGGGATTTTGTTGCCTTCAAGGAACTGGCGCCACGTGAGTAATGACCAACGTATCCCGTATGCCTCTTTCTCCCATACGAGCCAGCGCTGTTCTGTTTTTGTGAGTTTCTTGGATGTATACGCACAGGGTTGCAATACCCCTTCATCATTTTCTTGTAATAGTACAGCCCCCACTGCCACATCACTTGCATCCACCTGTATTACGAAGGGCTTATCCATGTCTGGGTGCCTCAGTACGGGTTTGGCAGAAAAAATTCTCTTTAATCTCTCAAACGCCGCTTGGCATTCCATTGTCCATTTTAGTGGCTGGCTAGGTTTTACTGAGGATGCTCCCTTCGTTTTTAGTAAGTTCGTGAGGGGCAGGGCTATCTGGGCAAATGAGGGGATGAATTAGCGGTAAAAGTTTGTGAAGCCCAGGAAACTTTGTAGTTGCTTTCTTGTGCGGGGTGGTGCCCAATCTAATACTGCTCTGACCTTCTCTGGGTCCATTTCAATGCCCTGTGGGGATATGCGATAACCTAGGTAGTCTATCCTTTCCTGGTGGAATTCGCATTTCGAGAGTTTGGCATATAGGTGGGCGGCTCGCAGTTTCTTTAAAACCACTCTGACTAGGTTGACATGTTCCTCTTTTGATTCAGTGAAGATAAGAATGTCGTCTAAGTAAACCAGGACCCCCTTAAATAGGTGCTCCCTTAGAACATCATTGATTAATTGCATGAATACTGCGGGGGCCCCTTGTAATCCAAAGGGAAGACTTCCATTCATCCCCTTCTTTAATTCTCACGCGATAGTGAGAATTATCTCCCTTCCCTGCTCCGCCGTCTGACATGGTAATTTTTGCAAAGTCCCCCGGTAAGGGTCTCCCTTCCAGGTGGACTAATTCTGCAAGTCCTGTCTAATGTAAGGACCCACCCCACTTTGCATCTTAAGAAGACAAAACTCTTGGAATAGTTCTTCCAACAGGAATCATTTATTAAGAGAAAGTGGTTGTAGGTTTTCTAGACAGGACTTGGGGTCCAAGCTCTCCCATTCAAGGTTTTAAGGGGTCCCCCAGTAGCCCCACCCGATCACCCCTTTCTTCCAGCGACAGTCCCAGGCATTACATTCCCATTCCCTTTTCCTCACTGCCGGGAAAGGAGACTTCAGAGAGGATTACATGAAAGGTAATAGCCCCATTGTTATGGTTAGTCCTTTTGGTGATATCCACATTCAGTCCCTTTGAAGTTGAAATGGAGGAAGTGAGAGCCAAAAACCCCTCTGCTCATCTCCCTCCCCCTTCATCATATGACAGAATCCAGAGAGGGCAGAAATGGGGTTTTCCATAGTTGATAACTAGAGATGAATTATAATTGGATTCTGACAAGAAGTGTCTTTCCCCATTGGGATTGTCCCACTCCACTCATGCTGGCAGAAGAATCCCAACAGCCAAGGGATTCTTGCTGGTGGGAGCAGGAGAAGAGCCTTTTCTGCCTTGGTTCCTGCCGTTTGAAATATCTTGTCACAGGTGGTAAGATCTGCCCCCTATCTTACAGCTTCAGGAAAGTCCTTAAAACTTGATTACGCCAGGTGGTGTGGGGTCCTGAAGGAGAAGCTGTTGAGTGGAAATGGTTGATAAATTAATAGAGGAGGCATCCCATCCTTCCCTTTCAAACTTTGTTTCTTAGTTAGTTTTCATTATTGTCATCTTACTCTGTTTTTACTTTTAAAATTGTTGAATGTTTGTGGGTTTTATCTTGATGTAAGCCACTCAGAGTCACCTGAACCATGAGATGGGCAGCAAATAAATTTAATAAATTAATAAATAAGAAATTTAATTTAATTTTTAAAAGTTTGTTATTCGTGTTGTTCGCTGTTTTAATTTTAGTGTTCTAGATTTCTTTCTTTTAAATAAGTTTCTTCCAATACTTGAAGTGCTGTCATGGGGAAGAGAGGGCCAGTTTATTCTCCAAAAGCACTGGAGGGCAGGATAAAAAGCAACAGATGGAAGCTTATCAGAAGAAGAGGTAACCTGGAACTAAGGAGAAATTTCCTGATAGTGAGAACAATTAATCAATAGAACAGCTTGCCTACGGAAGTTGTGGGGTACACCATCACTGAAGGGTTTCAAGAAAAGGACAACCATTTGTCCAGGATGGAATAAGGTCCCCTACCCTGGGCAAAGGGTTGAACTAGAAGATTTCCAAGGTCCCTTTCAGCCTATGATTCTGTGATTGTACATCTCCACTGTTAGCTTTTACCAATTCTTCCTTCCACCTCTTTCTTTCAATTTCTATGATTTTATAAATATTAAATACTGAACATCTATTTGAGAAACTGCAAAAGCAAGACTATGATCATAGAAAATTATTTAATTAACTGTCATTTAAAATGGAAAAACATTTTATTTTCAAGTGAAGAAGATGAAACAGTTATATAACTCCTAGGAATACGCTGACTGAATTCAGCTTGTGGGTTTTTAGTGCACAATCCTGATAGACTGAACTTAATGTAATAGTCTGTTAGAGATTTATACTGAACGTTGTCAAATTCCATCTTCTTTTTTAATATTCAGATATGGACCTTGATAGCAGGCTATTTGTTGACTGTGTTATTCAGATGGAACCAAAGCACGGAGCGTTACTTGAGAGCAGTCTCAGTTCCTCTCTGGATTGTTCTGCTACTTCATTTGGGTGAGTGAATACATGTTATATAGTATGAGGTGTTTACGTAGTTTTAAAAACTAGAAAGTTAGATAGGAAAGATAGCTGGATGTTAGTCATAGTAGATGATTATTGTCTAGCATGTTTCAATATGTTTTTGGCATGAAAGGGAGATAAGAATTGATTGAATATTTGTAATTTCTAAAATCTAACTGTCCTCATTCCCCTGAAATATAAAGCTTAATATATGGATTCATACATCATGCCAAGATAATTTTTTACTTTAGATCTAGCATTATATGTCACCTTACACATTGTGTTTTGTAAACTATAATTCATGACTCAGCATTATATATGAATGGTTATTCAAATAATGGTCTATTGTAATATGGGAACACAATTACTGTATTTTTTTCTTGTACATAAATATAGATCCTTGTAAATTTATGGATAACCTTTTTCAGTCTCAAGGCCAAACTTTAACTTTGTACACTGCCTGGGAGTTAGATGGATTTGATGTCTATGGAGAGAGCAAGACTGAAATACTAGGTCCTAATTTTACATTTTTAAGGAGTCGATACTTCTGTGAAATTAGTACCTTAATTCTTAAAAAAAACTCAGAATACCAATTTTTGCTCTATAAAATTCACCAGAATGAAAATTTAGCCTGATTACTTTGGGAATTTTAGGAGTGGAACAAATGGGACTTGAGGGAATATATTTTACCCACCTTCACTTATAGATATCTACAGGTATATCTGTTTCCTGTCAACTTAAACCATAAAATTTGGCAGCAGTTTACCCAAATTGATACTTGCCTTTTTCCATTATATATTGTTCTTTTTAAAAAAAAATTACCAGAACTTTTTAGTTTGTTTTGTACTCTTGACTTCCATTGAAAATTATATGGACTACATCAGACATATCAAACTCACAATGTCACGTGACGTCATGCAATGTATCGGCACTGTTTTGCCATTGCCGGCAATGGGGTGGGCGCGGCTTCCGTGTGACGCATCCGGCCTATGGGCCGGCAGTTTGACACCCCTGGACTACATCATATTAAATGGCAAGGGTTTTGTTTTGTTTTGTTTTGCTTTGTTTTATGTTTTTGCCATCTAGTCAGGTTTTTTACTCCTAGCACCTTCTTGGACAAATTGCTGCAGTTTTCTTGGCAAGGTTTTTCAGAAGTGGTTTAATATTGATTAATATTGTTTCTCTAGGGCTGAGAGAAAGTGACTGATTCAAGGTTATCCATCAGGCTTTGTGCCTATAAAACTCACCAACTTCCAATTTTATGCTTGATGCCTTACCCACTACACCAAACTGGCTGTAAATAGAAAGTTAAAAATAGCATTTTCTTACATTTTGAATTAATTTTGAATATAATGTATCTTACAATATTCAAAATTAATCCAAAGCATAGGAAAATGCTTTATCATAAGTTAACAGCCTATTATTTCTATTATATATCTTGGATAACAGTATTATTATCATCATCTTTGACAATATCTACTTGAGAAAAATATGGGTGCATTAAATGATACATATTTTTTTCCAGCTTCTGCAGCAGGATCTTGGAGAATTCCAATTGTTGTGCTTATAATTGTCTTAATGACTGTAGGTTTGCTTCATGAGCAATCAAATGGAAAAGAGCCTCCAGGTAAAAAGTAATTCCTTTTTAAAAGAATGGAATATAATTATTTTCTTTAGTGAGCCTATTTAAATTTATACAATGCCCAACTCACAAAGATTCTAGAAGATTACAGATAAAAAGTTAAAAACTAGAAAAAATACAACAGAGACAAAAATAAACAATGAAAATGGGAGAAATGATAATAACTGATGGGGAATAAAACAAATATAGTTGTACCTTGGTATTCAGCTGCTTCAAAACTTGTTGGATTTTGCACTCAATGCATTTTGATGCAAAAATGTTTTCCTGGTACTTCTTGTTTGTTTTGTACTTGACTCATTGCGATAGGAAGAGAGGGATGGCCATGAAAAATGGATAGGAAGCTGGCTAAGCCAGGAAGGTCGCTGTAAAAAGAAGCGGGGGATGGCTGCAGAGGGTGGATAGGAAGTCAACCCTGCTGGGAAGGTCACTGACATAAGAAAAGGGACAGACAGGAAGTCCTTTCTGACTAACACAAAGGCTCATGGGCTTTATTTGATACTCATCATTTTTAGTACTTGTTGCACTTCCCAGAACAATTAATAACAAGCACCAAGGTACTACTGAATCCCCGCATAGAGCAAAGGGGCCTTCATTCATCTTTGCCAAACGTTTGGGTGAAGAGCCAGGTCTTCAAAACCCTTTGAAACATCAGAAATGGGAGCTGTCCAGATCTCAGAGGAAATCTAATTCCAGAGTGTAGGCATTACTGTTTAGAAGGCACACTAAAGGTCCAGTAGATAATATTATTTAACTGGAGAAACTGGCGAATCAGTTTTGTTTGAACATGAGTAATAGGTAATAGATGCCAGCAAGACTTTTGATGTTTTTTGTCAATATGGTGGGCGAAAGGTTATTGGTATTGCCATTTTCCAGTACAGGAGATGGAGAATCCACCAATGGGTTTTTTCTGTCTGCCTGCTCTTGAGACCAAGTTAGCCAAACTTGACATGCCCCCTGTTGCTAGGAGATCCAGTCTTGACTTGGTCTCAAGCTCTTGAAGACGTGTCAGGTTTGGCTCTCTGATTTCAAGAGACTTTGATTACCTAACTAGCAGATAGATTTCCATTGTTGGATTCTCCTTTCCCTCTGTTAATTTCATCTCAGGTTAGTGGATTCTCTTGCTCCTCTCCTCACCCCAACTCTCAGAAACGCTGGGATCAGTGCTGCCTCAGATCGGACGATCTGAGGCTTGGCTGGGGGGTGGGGTGACTGCTCCGTCTATCCTTCCCCAGGGCTCTGGGCGAATTTCCTCCCATTCCCTCTCACTCTCGTGGGATTCCTCGCGCAGCGCTCAGCGCTGCTGCTCCGACCTCCTGGGTTTGTGCCAAACAACTCCACGAGGCTTCAGACAGCTTCCCCAACGGCCGTCAAGTCGTGGCCGCCATTTTGGGTGCCGCCGAAGGTACCGAAGATTAAAACGGAGCCATCTGCCCTTTAAAAGGGGATCTTGTTTAAATCTACCTGCCTTCAAATTTTAGTCAGTGGGACCAGCGGCAGGGCTCCTGGCTCCACCGCGGAGCTCTGGACTTCCCCAGGGACCCCTCCAAGCGTTCAGAGCGGCCACCATTTTGGCTGCGCCACGCAGTTCCCTGTTACAGCTGATCATCCAACTCGCTCACTGACGGCCTGACTGCAGTTGCAGACCCTTTTATTCTCTCATTGTTTCTGAGAGCGGCCAGTAATCAAGCTTCTCAGTGCTTCTGCAGCCTTTAGCTAGAGTAGAGGGGTGCTCGGCCATTTCAGCCCACTGATACCAGCCTCGCCCCAGTTTATTCAGGCCACCATTTTGATCTAGGGCCGCCATTTTGAACTCGCAAGTGAACCTTTTTAACAGCTCCTCTGCAAGGCTTTCCTTTCAGGTCCTCTGCACCCTTCATTGGGCTTTCTGGTGCACCTTGACTGACCACCTAAGGCCTCTGGGCGGAGCCCATAGCGGGTCCCAACCGTGCCTTCGGCCTTGCCTTCAAGGCCGTGACCTAAGCCCCAGAGAGACTTATTACCTGGTCAGGTGGTCAGGGGAGCAGTCCATATTATTTGCTCCAATTACTCTTCCCACCAACTGCTTGCCTGCCAGAGCTCCCCCTCAGGTTCCCTGAGATAGCTCGACCCAGGATGGAGGATTTCACGGTACCTCAACCCATGAGTGCTGCCTCCCCGTCCTCAAGTTACGGCCGGCACAAAACTTCCAAATAGGAGGCAGCAGGCAAGCTCAAGAACAAGGCTAGGGCCACCCTCAAAAAGCCTTCAAAGTTGGCGGAGAAGCAAGCCAGCCGTAGGCACCAGGCTCTGGAGAAGGAGTTCTCCAGAGCACAGAGACAGGCCAGAACACAAACGGATCAATTGGCGGTCTCTGAATTCGACCTCCTTATAGGTCCTTCGACCTCTGCTCAGGGCGTGTGGTCATTGGCTGTTTTAATTCTGCCCCCCC